TTCAAAAAAATATATTTTAAAAAAATTTTTTATGTTAACAAAATTTTTAATCAAATTATAATTAATTAAAAATTTCCTAAAGCGAGAGTCCCATACTGTATATTATATATTGTTATTATAAAATTTTTTAAAAAATTTAAAATAATTATATTTAATAAAAATAAAAAAAAATTTTTTAAAAAAATATAAATATTTTTTTAGAATTTATTATTTTTTATAAAATAATAAAAATATAATTTAAGCTCAATATTTTATTTATTTTTAAAAAATTTAAATTAAGATTTATTATTTATGACTTATTATATTAAAAACTTTTTTTAAATTTATTTATATTATAATTTAATAAATTTTATTTTTAGTTTTATTCAAAATCATATTTTATTTTTCTGAATTGATATATATTAGTTTTAATTATTTACTTTTTATTTATAATAAAAAATTTTTATTTAAACTATTTTATTAAATATAGTATCATAACAAAAATATTGTTAATAATTATTTTAATATACATTCAAAATACAATATTTTGTTAAAATTGAAGCAATTCAAAATAATTATATAATTAAAAAATCAATTGTGGATTTAAAATTAAAGCATAATTTTATAATAATTTCTTTTGAATGATTGTGAGTTAAAAATAATAATAATAAAAACAATAATAATAATTTCTTTTGATATTTATTTTTAATTAAAATTTTACAAATATATTTATAAATTAATGATAAATAATTTTTATTTATATTTATTATTTATAAAAATCAATAAAAATTAAATATTCCTATTCTTAATACACTTAATAATATAAATTATAAAAAATTATATTTAAAATAAAAATTATAATATATATAAGAAAAACAAAATATATACTATTAAATAAATATAATAAAAATAATATATAGAAATAGATAAAAAAAGATTACTTACTAAAATAGAAAATATATCTAATTTTTTTATTTCGATGAAAAAAGATAAAGTCTAAAGTATAGATAATAATTATCATGACTTTGGATTTGACTATTTTACTTCTTAAATTCTACTTTATATTTAATCAATAATTTTATAATTTATACAGTATATATTTTTAAAAATCTTGATTTAATTTTTAATATATTTATAATTAATAAATTTAATAAATATAAAAAATTTATAATTTAAATATAATTTTGAAGTTACAAAATTTTAGGTTCAAAAAATTCTTGATCTGTCTTTAAAAATAATTATCCATATGTATATTTATTTATTTATTTATTTATTTGATAGAACTTGCCTATATTCATCGTGCGTCATTTAGACGCCGTGAATACTGTATAATGCATACATATTACTGTGACTAAAATGTTGCATATACGGTTTTATGCGCCACAAAAGAAAAATGGAAATTGATCGTTCAAAGGTGATACAACCACACGTGTCGTACGCGTCATATCTCTTGAATGTATAAACAATACGACATAATTTTCCTATGGCGTGGCGAAGCTGAAAAGTATTTAATTTTCCGCAGCGTAACGTCAAGACGCAACAGTTTTCTTGAAAATCAAAATGAATGAAATACGAATCAGAGACTTGGAAATAAATCTATTGGCATGTACGTATGCTATAAGTTAAGACATGCGGAAAGCAATGCCGATTGAATTTTACACAATGTGGATGATACCTTCCTTATTGGTCAAGCACCAGTAAAGACTTTATTTTTAAAAGGTATTACATATATTGTATTTCTATATTATGCATAATTTATTGCAGATCTTGTAATATTATCGATTATTTTTTTTAATACTGTAGTTATTAATAGTATTGAAATTCATAAGCATTATTTTCGTGATTCATATTATTGGGAATTAAAGAAAAAAAAGTTTCATATTCTGAATTGTCAATGAAGGGTTGCATAGGAGAACTCTGAGGAGTTGGTAAGTAAACCTGGCGCTGAATAAAATTCGAATTCGAATTATTAAATCGTAGTGGTTCTTGAGAACAGTCGTTTGAAAGTCCTATAAATAAACGATCATTTTCAAAGCTGTATTGAGGATCATTGTAAAATAGCGATGAATTCGATGGGTTTGAATTGTGTTCGCAATCAGGAATAATTATGTTATTATCTTGAAAGGTCGATGGTGTCGATTGGAATGGAATTGAATGAATATTTTCTGTTTCGAGTTCGGCTTCTCTTTGTTTATAAAAAAGCTTTAAGTGTTGGGCATATTCTCTAAACTCTGATTTTACTTGTTGAGATTCTTCGCTCCATGCTTTTGCTGCCCAGTTAGAAGCATCGGTCATTTTATAATGTAATTTTTGTTTCAATAAAGTCTTTACATATATTTTACGATAAATCATAAAAGCATTGGATGTTTTACATCCGATACTTTTTCTTGGTAAAAATTCAGAGATATTAAAATGGAAGGGTGACTGAACCTTTACGAAAGGTTTAGAGCTGGTAGTATCATGAGAAACAGGACTGATTCCTTTGTAATGAGGCATAATTAATTGAAAAATTAATTGATTTCTTGCGACTGAGTTTTTTTTCGTCCTTTTTATACTGATAATTTATATAACGTTTGTTTACCAAAACGGGATGCCAAAATGTATAGAACTCGATGACTCAAGTGGAAAGTATATCAGAATATTCTTGCATCACACGCCACAAAATGTTGCGGCTGCTTGTGTAATCTTTGATCATGTGATAATTTAAATCGGAGTTTGAAGAAAATGTGACTCACAACATTTTAGTGATGTTTAAAACTTTGTTTTTACTATTTTCTTTGATATTTGCAACGGTCACGAGGTTTTCGAACATTCTGGAAATGTTCATTATTATAATGAGGTCTACTTTAAACGGGATTGTTCTGGTACAAAAATTTTGTCATAGTCTTGTTGGCACAAGTCGATGCGCAGAAACAAGAAGTATGAAATATAATCTTTAGAAATAAGTAAATATTATAAATCACCATTTTAATAACCGGATTATTAATATGTAGTAAAATTAATAAATTAAATACATTTATTATAACGTAATATGAATTGTATTTGTTCTCAAATTACTAATAATAGATAAAGAAAATCAACACACTTGAACCGTATAAAAAAATTTAAGAGTACATTTATAGAGATAGTTTTTTAAAAGTTCTGTATGCACTTTGAATCAAGTTTTATGGTAAATTTATAAAACTAAAACTTAACAGGTGCATTATATTTATAATGGCTTCTTTAGATCAAGTTTATTTAAGAATTTAAATAAAATAATTAATTAATTATATAGTTTTCTGATAAGATAGTATTTATACATATTTAGTAAATATAAAAAAGCTACTTATATATATAAGTACTAATATAAGCAGATATACAAGTATTTGTTAGTTTATATATTATCTATCTGTATATAAAGAGTAATGTAAGTAGCTAAGCCAAGACAGTTACCTTATATAAATATGGTTGCTTCCAAAAGTTTGAGTCCACTTACTATGTTTTTGTTATAAATTTTAACTTTGATAATTTTTAAATCATTAACTATATAGTCAAAAATTATAAAATTTATATATATTATATTTTAATACTTAT